GTTAGAACTGGCATCTTAATGAATAGCTGCCACTGAAAAAGCATCTGGGATTTTAGTAACTGAGGAGTTGAGGACAGGTTCAAATTGCCAGGAGGGATCTTTGAGGCAGAAAAAGCACTGAGAAGGGAGGGGAATAAAAATGAAAATATGTGCTAGATGTGAAAAGAAGTGTATTTGCAAACATTACCATTGTACCAGAATGATCTTTTCCACTGGAAGGAGAGCTACGTATACGCACTTTATATATGTATACTATGTATATTCTACATATATACAAGTAAAATTGTTATTATTGTCATTGCTGTTGTTATCTTAAGGGGAAAAGAACAGAATTTAACTAGGCATTGAGTGTATAGTATACCTCAGGGTGTTCATCCATAGCTTAGGTTGAACCTTGGTGAAGTGTGCCTGCAATGATAAGTGCATGGTGCCTTCTGCCATGGTTTTCTGCTATAGAGTTCCATTTTTCTGAATTTCTGTGAAATACAAAAGTATCATGATTCCTGTATGTCCTTTCTCTATATCTTGGCTTCCGTACTGGTGCAGTGGGAATAGCGGTGCTTATTTTTCACAGGTGTTATGAGGCTAAACTGCATTGGTGTTTGTAAAATATTTTGAAAGCTTGGATTAAAGGTGCTGGGGAAGTTCACAGCATTACTTAAAAAATTTAGCAGTCATCTTAGTGAGAACGATTAATCTCAGGGTAGCTCCACATTTTTTTCCCATTGGTTAAAAGCTTCCACTTGTGGTATAATTACAAATAATTTAATCTTCCTCAAAGTATTCAGCGCTCTCTTTCTGCCATGATGAGTATCATAGAAATGTCTATTAAGGAAATAAATAAGAGGTTTTTCTTTTTTTAACAACTTCGTTTTGATTTGAGTACAGCTATCATTACGCTTATTGAACTAATATTTCTTAGTGTTGCCCACATACGGTTGAGATATAAATACTCATAGCTTCCATAATGTCTGCAGCTGTATAATTTAAAAAACCCAGCAAATCAAAAAGAGTACACATTTATCTAATTGATTCTTCACAATTAAATAGCCTTAGAGCCTTCATTTCCCTATCATTTTTTGTGATGAGGAAGGGTGCTACTACTAGTCATGACTGGAAAGTTTCTACTGGCATTAGTTATGCATAAAATGATCTTTTTTTCACATTAATGGTCCCATTTTTCAGATCAATTGCTGCTGAAATTGATAAAATTGTACAGATCCATCAGATGATATTAGCAAACATCCACTTTCTCTTTTGCCCTACATAAGGACACAACAAAGGTCCTACTGAGTGTCACCAAAAATCCGTCTAGCTCAATATCCCATCTCCAACAGTGGCTGTTCATGAACACCCAGGGAAAAGTATACAGACCACAAAATCGTAAGGCGATGTGACTTTAGTGGACACCTTCTCGCCTTTGAGCAACTTGCAGTTCAGTAATGCCCTGACACAAGAGCTCCATCTCTGTGTTTAATATCCCTTAGTAGATTTTTCTTCTACGAATTTGTCTAATTGCTTTTTGAATCCATGTAGACCTTTGACAGCCACAGCAAGTTGTGGCAATAAGTTCAGCTACATAGAGTGAGGAAAACAAAAACACCCTCTTCCATTTGCTGTAAGACCGGCCGTCCCTGCCTGAGGTAACCTTCTGCTTCAAGCTCTACCCCAGCCCACAGCCTTCTCTGCAATTATCTTCTCCCAAAGACCTAAAAGCCTGGGCTCTTTTTGCTGTCAAGTGTAACCATCTTTCTGAGCTGTGTTTAAGAACAGTTTAGGTCTCTTGCTTCATATGTAGGGGTATGAATTTGAGCCTTGTCCTGCATTTATAGGAAAGGCTGCTTGCTGCCACCCTAGCTCTAAGTCAGTGCCTCGTGCAGGCTGCCAAACCCCCATCCCCTGCATGCCCTGGGTGGCAGGCATGGCTGTGCCTTAACTGTAGTGGCCCACTGGATCAATTAATTAGGCTGAGGAAGATCTCTGATCTTCCTTGGTACGCTAGAGCCCACAGGTGGTGTGGTATAGTCAGGGGCAGAAAGGACTAGGGTTTCACAGGGAGATGCCCAGCTGCAGGTGTAAGAGGATTTTGCAGGGACTATCATGTCTAAGAGGGAGCGGCAAGAGTCAGGGATGAAGGTGCCTCCCTGAGCATCCCCTGCTTCATCCCCTTTTACACCCCTTTGGTGAAAAGCTGGCTTTGCCCAGAGCTGCAGCTCTCCCTCTGTCTTCAGGGAGCAGGGAGAAACAGATGGATGGTCATCAACAGATAATTATTAATGAGTTTCCAGATGATGGAAGCTGATTTACAAAGTATGTTCTTTCACCTTACAGGAAAAAGGTATCAGAGCTCTTGCTCTTGCTCTGTTGTACAAAATTTAGGATGTGGGAAACTGAATGATAAATATGCATGCATTGCAAGGGAGCAGAGTATTCCAGAAGTAAGCAACTACTCAAACCCCTGCATTACAGATCTGATTAATAGCAAAACTGCATCTAACTCAATTTGCAAAAAGAGCACTTGGAAAATTTAAGACAGTTTACTCAGGCAAGCCATCAAGCTGATGAATGTAGTCAATGGGGGTAGGGTGGGTGGAGACTAATGAAACATAAATCTAAACCAGGTTTTTAAGGGTCCTAAATAATTGCAGTCTGTTAATACTATGAAGCTTACAAGAAAAAAATATAGGATTCAGAATAACTGTTTAATTATAGAAATGCACTGATGCCGGCTTTCTTCTACAGTTTTAATAAGGATTAATTTTATTGTGCATTTATTGTATTTTAATTATACATGTAATCTGTTGTGCTATGCTATGGGCAGTCAGTGTAAAGAAAGGAAGACTTCTTTGTAAGCACCATTTATTTTAACATATTATACTAGAAGTCCTCTTTGATCTAAGGGAAAAAGAGACCTTTTACCCGTAAGCTATCCTTCTTCACTACCTCCTTCCTTTCTAAGATTATAATCATGTCCAAAAATACTTCTTATAATGACAGTCTTTCTTCATTACCAAATGCTCTCCACCTCTAACATGTGAAAATTACAGGCAGTGCAATGGGAACCACTTCAGCAAAACCACACCAGGGATAAGTTTAAGGAATTTCTGCAGCTTCAGAAAGCTACATCCTTTCTCGAGGGGACCGTGCCAGAGGTGGCTTGACCCAACTCTGTTGGACTGGCTGTTACTGTGACAGCTAGGTCTGCAACCAGCTAAAAGCACCCCTTCAAGTTCCATAGCCTGATATCCTGGAAACCAGTCCCCCATTTCCAAGACCACATCGTCTCAACGCATTGTCTGGCTTTTCTTCCTCCTCCCCTGAATGTGCTTGGCTCCCAGTCCTGCCCACATGCTCCCAGTTGCTACCCCATGCACAATTCATTATTCATTTAGAAACACATGCCTCCTCTCCACACACATGTACTAAATATACATTTCCATAAAATGAACTGCTGAAAAGACTAGAGAAAGAAGATGATCAAGTAGATGCTGGGGGAAGAAATTTCTCACTACAGATCAACAGCCACGGTGTGATACAGACTGACAGCACTCAGTGGCCTGATTTTCGAGGTGCTGAGGATATGGAATAAGCAGGGACTTCAGGATTCAGACAGAAATATAAAGGTTAAGGCTATAAATCTTATCTAGTTTCAGTAATTTAAAATAATGCTGCTGTTGGTCACAAAAATTAAATGCTATGAAGTCAGTGTGCTTGCTTTTTCCTCATAACCTATGCCAGTGTAAATCAGCAGCAACCCCCCTTGTAAAGCAAGGAGGTTATATTTGAGGGAAAACATTGAAACACAAGGGGGAAAAGAAAACAGCCAAGATGGTTGATACTAAAGTTCTGCAGACAGTCCTATTCCTAGGCTGTAAAAATACCCTACTTAGCCCTGAATGCTTTATCTCTGTTTCCTGGGATCATACTTCATTTATATTTCTTACAGAAACCACAGATGGTCCCTAACAGTACACTCAGATCTAGGAAACATCTCAAATTACTGTTAGTCTCTTTCACCAAATCTCCAGTGAAGCATGGTGTTACCGCGTATTTTCTCCCACCACCTTACCAGAAGTCTGACAACCTAGTACATTAAATCTGTGGGAAATCTCTTTATAGCTTGCTGGTTTCTTCTCTGATTTTTCACTTTAGAAGTATCTAATATGCATCTCATCTCCCTAATCCTATGGAAAAGGGCTACAATTTCCAAATCATCAGTGCTCCCACAATGATTGTCTTGGGGACAGACCTTCCAGATTACCTTCGATATTGAGGTATAACCAAAGACAGAGGGACTGGTCAGCACAGAAGGAGACAGGCTGGAGGAAATTAAGGGCTTTTGCAACAAAATAAAAATCACAGTCACAATACAACAAGTTCCAGCCACCCCTTTGTTATAAGCTTATACGTTGTCCTCCATGCCGTTCCTTTTTCATCTGAAATTGTATATTTTTAGGCTTCCTCTATGTTTGTGAATTATTTCTTTGGAGACCCTATAAAAATAATTACACTCAACATTACATTGCCCACAGAGACCTATTCGAGGTCTGGTGCCCTCTGTTCAAAAATAGTGATGGATTGTGCGGCAAGAGCTACAGAACTCGAGTTATAAGAATTGCAGTCAGATTTGTCTTATAATTATGGTTCAGCTGGCCATCAGGGTAGTGCCTGGGCAGACGCCCAGGGAACTTCAGATGTTCATCCCCTGGGTGGTGCAGGAACTCCCAGTCTAGCCACCTACACAGCTGGACCAGCTGGAGACAAGGGACTGAGCTGAAAGCAGGGGATGGACTGTACTCCCAACCCCCTTCGCAGCACGGCACCCAGGACAGTCTTTTGTACATATTAATTAGTTAGAAGATGCTTTGCATGTAGTTAAGACAATAGATCACAATAGATCATGCACATGCTGGAGTGGTCACAATGGTCCCTGGGCCAGCTGGCTTTAAGAACTGAGCAGAAAAAGGGGTTTGGGGAGTCACACCTGATCCAGCTGAAGATGCCACAGCAAGGACTCTTGAAATAGAAACTCTCATCATCATAGGGATAGTGACTAACCTAACCATCTTGTTTGAAAGATTTCATTCCCTATGCAAGCATTACCCTATGCCAAGATCCTAATAAATTAGGTTATTCGGGTTTTTTCTTTGCTCTGTTTGTGACTGACTGCAGTAGAGGAGGAATAGACAGAAATAAGCCATAGCAATGATTAAAGCATGGAAAATCAGCCTCTCAGTGATAGATCCCAGGAATATTTGGTTTACCATAGAGAGGATTATAGGATGACTTGATCCCAGCCTCTAATTTTTACCTGGGGAACAAAACTTTAATAACAGGTTCTCCAACCCAATAGACAACTAAACCAAGATCCAGCATATGGAAGATGAAGCTTCATAGAGAGGAGGTTTGCAACCAATAGAAAACAAGTCATGGGATAGTGGTTTATTTTACCCCTTTGGCAACTTTAAAATTACAGTTTCATGTTTCTCTAGAAATTATATGCTCCAGTTTAAACAAGAAATACATTAAAAAAGAAGTAGGGGTATTCTGTAGCCGGTTTTATACAGGATATCTGACTTGGAGAACATAACTGCATCTTTTGTTGACTATATCAACTGCTATCCTATGGCATAAGGTCTTGAGAAACAGGAATTCCTTGCTTCAGTACTGAATGAAACTGAAATTCCATTTTAAACATAACTGAAAATAAATCCAGAATGTCAAAGAATAATCAAGTTATTTGCAAGAAAAGCAGGAGTTATAAGTTAAAGTTGAGATGCACTGGCAGGGGGAGATGGGACACTTGTTCATTGCCTATCTTCACTAACACACTAATATCCTCACTCAATGTTTAAGAAGAAAATGAAATTTTTAAAAGATAAAAACTACATCATCAAAATGATGTGTAATTATGTTTAAATTTACAGTGCAGAAGAGTCACATACTATGTGACTAATGAGTTGAGCCAATCATTAGCAAGTTTTATTGAAAGTTTGCTTCTTGCTAAATATCTCTACTTTTATCTGATAGGTTTATTTTTATTGGATTTGTCGAGACCCATCAACATTTGAGTGGTTTGCTGATCTTCTGTTCCATTTGGAAACAAAAATGGCTGAAAAAGGGAAAAATGATTTTCTAAGCTATCATATATTTCTTACTGGCTGGGATGAAAGTCAGGTAATAATGAAACTTTTACGAGTCTGAGTTAATGTACCTTGCTTTTCCAGTATGGTAACATATGGAACAGGAACAGCTGAATAAATGATGGATGAAACAGAGAGACAAAGAACTGTAAATATAAAGACACCAAGCCGTCTGTTTCCACCTCAACATTTAGGAAAACAGGAACAGAGAAATCGAGCCAGTGATGCTTCCAGTCCTGTATCCTGGCTTGGGCAGCGCTGGTGACCAGGTGTTTTGCAGAAAAGTGCAGAGAGCCTTTCAGGAACTTGTGAAGGGACATTTTGTCCACGTCTTTGAAACAGAGGGTTGCATAAAAAGTCTTGGTTTTGTTTACTCTTATTATTTAGTATAATTTTTGTTGTTCACATATATGTCCAGTACAGTTTTGAACCCTGCTGTGCTTAGAACATTTTGGCAACAAACTATATGGACTAATTCATGTTTGAAAATATTTTTTCTCTGGTTGACTGCAAATTTGCCATCTTACAATTTCATTGGATCATCCCAACTCGAGGCACTTAATCCTTAGACTGGGTCAATTTTTTTCAACTTCTTTAGTCTTTATCTAGACCCAGATGAGTTGATCTTCTCTCTCTCTTGTTTTTAATGGATCACTCAGATGACACTGCAATCAGTTAGGCACCTGCCAGAAAAACTCTCACAGGAAAGTCTTTGCTCTACTGTTTTATTTCCTGCTGTCTCTGTTGAATGAAGGACTGTCTAGTAGAGATTAAAAAAATAGATTTCATAGAGCTTTTCCCTTCCTGCCTCTGCTGCCACAAAAAAACCCCCACATTGTTTCTTTCTGCTTTACTTAGGGCTTCTGTCAAGTAATGAGGTATGTGCATAAAGCTGTATTCAGAAAAATCTGCTCCCACCGTGAAGTATATGGCAGTCATAGAAACCACCACTGTGCATTAGCAATATCACAGGGCATTACCTGAAACCTGTTTTGAAAGAAGCTATTGAGGAACCTAAGAAAACACAAGTTGCCCTCATCGCTCAACTGCCATCATCCCACTTCCCTCTTGGGCAAACATCAGGCCAGAAGTCAGGCAGGGAGGCAGCTGTTCTTGCTGGGACGTCTGACTCCCTTCACTTGTGTGTCCTGCACTTTTCTGAAGTGCCTCCTCCTTCTCTTCAAACCCCGTCGCACAGTCTCCTGCCAGCACTGCCTTGTTATCCTCTGCTGCTGGTTAGGTGAGCCAGGAGCATCCCTGAAGCTGTGCTGCCTCCCTGCCTACCCTGGTACTGCTCTTGCTCCTGGAGCCACCCCAGCATCCCACCTCTAAAGGGCTGTGGGGGACGAGGAATGCTTTTCAGTGGGTGCTTCTCCTACTCTGACCAAGCCCAGGGAACTGTGCTGGGTAACAGCTTCACCTTCTTCAGACATCCACAAAACTCCTTTATCTTACAGGTCTTACTTACCTTTAGTAAATTCCAGTTCATCACTCCTCAAAATTTGAGCTTCAGCACCAGTAATATTTGGACGATGCTTTACTTTACTTCTTCCTTAGCAAACAACAAAACCAACATTCTCCCCATTCTCTCCCTGTCTCACCATATAGATGGCCAGTAGTTGGTGAAGCTGAACCCAAGCAGGATGGGCAGTTTACAACTTCTAGTGCATCCTCCACTACTGGCAAGTGTTTACTCCTCAGTCATAGCATTTGTTCAATGCTTTGAGCTCTTTGTAGATTCTATGTTGGCATCAGATGGTCAAACAGATATGGCACATGCCTGCCTCTGCTTGGACAAGAAATCATGTTTCAACCTCTTGCTCCTTGCAATGCCCCCAAGATTCCTAGGGAACTTCAGTGCTGTGAGCTATAGCAAGGGCTAACACCAAAAGTTCCACTTAATGTGAACAGAAATAGCCCATCTCCTCAGTGGCATAATTTTCTGTAAACAATTAAAAAAACCTGCAGTTCCCCACCTCTCACTCCCACCAAACACTTTAAGTGCTTTCTTAGACTATTCCAAGTCCTCTGTAACATTGGCCCAAACTAACAAGAAGTTTTTTGGAAACATGACCTCTTTGTGACAACTGTGCTTGACCACAATAATTGAGTTGTTAAGCAACATGGAAGACTCATTAGCACAAGAAATATACAATATTCCCAGGAAATGGACCTAAATTTCAGCAACCACTTCTGCAAGAGATGATAATTATGCCTAGTTCATGCTAGGGCCTGAACTAAATTCAAAGCCCATTTTTTAAGTTAGCTGTCCTCTGGTAATTTCTTGACAGTGATAGTAATGATGGTAGTCTGTAGTGAAAATAAGCTTATTACTCCTACACAGTAGCAGCATGATCGGGAGAGACAGTGTTTTTGTTTTGAAATGCACCTGGGAAGTACTCAGATAGCATGGTAATGGGCGTAGCATAGGAGCTGAGAGACAGTAAATGCCCATGAAAATCAGGATTTGTTTTCTTGGCACTGGGAACTGTACAGCTTGCTTAGTTCAGTGCTTCACCTGAGCTGATCCATCTTCTATACCTGCCTCCACCTGAGGAGAATAGTCAAACCACTCAGGGTTTTACACCTGCCGAGCTGGTACATCCACTGCCTTTTCCAACATCAGCGTAATGCTCTGGACTTACTTAAGGTGCATGTAAGTGCTAATATTTATTGTCAAACTCTCTTGCAGTACACTTTGTTTCCTTTCCTAAACTCCAACTTGACCTTTAAAATGGTGACTGTCACTTCAGGATCTGCAATGAAGGAAGTATAGGGTGAGATTTCAAAGGCTGAGAAGAGGTTTAGGAATCTAAAAAGTGACTGAGGCACTTTGGCCCAGGCCAATAAAGACAGGTATTTAATCCCAACTCATTTCAAACATTTCACCTCAAGAAACTGAGCTCCTTTGAGGTCTCAGGCACTTTTGAAAGTGCTTTTTACACTTCTAGTCATTTTGTGAACTCTTGAATACTCCTCTCCCCCTCTGCCTTCTCCTCCCCTCCCCTC